CAGTTCTGTAAGTGCAAAAATGAAAACTTAAACCAACCTGAAATTCGTCGTATTTCTTGCACAAGTGTGTGAACACCTAGCCGCGAGAGAAGATTAATTCGAGGAGAAATTACCTTTACAACTGGCCCGATTTTTTGTGTTCCTCTTATTTATTGTTGACTGATTGACTTTTTTCCTTTATTGTCTTTCTTTCTATAATTTTCTATATATTTTCTACTTTATTTCTTTCTGTATTGTGTCCAAATAACATTCTCCTAATTTTATTGTTTTCTGAAGACTGTGTTGTACAACAGTTATTCCCAAAACGCAGTACTGTCGTATTTTTTAATGACAGTCCGAGAAAGCTAACGTGTTAGCTATTCCTTGCATCTTAAAACGCCTTACAATAAACGCCTTAAGTACTGTTATGATTTTTAAAATGGTTCGCCACAACACCAAGTAGATTATACAAAGTAAACCTAATAAACCTTACATTACCGACTGACGTTATGTAGGGTAGCGTCAACCCAAATTAGACTGATTAATGATAAATAGACAATTGATTAGCGCAGTGCCGAATTAACCATGAGGCACTTGAGGCACTGGCCTCAGGCCCCCCAACTCTAAGGGGCCCCAAATCCAAACATTCTCGACGTTGAAGCGCATAAAACATGAACTTCGTTCAACGATGTCCTAGCAACGTCTCAATTTTTGTCTCCTATGAACATTAAATTTGTTATTTTGCAGAAGCTTAATATTGATGAAATCATCGATAAATTTGGGTATATTTTATTCCTGTTATTTATATATACCTTGAGGGTAGGGGGCCTCAAGTTGATCTGTGCCTCAGGCCCCTATTAAGCATAATCCGGCCCTGGTAGCGCCTTAAACAGAAAAGGGCTAGGTTATATCAGTTTCCTCTCTAACATGTATTTTCCCACCCTCTTGGTGTGGCCGGTGTGGCCGGCGGGTCGTGCTAAAGCTCGACAAGTCTTGGATTACTGCCAGTGACGATTCAGCGAGGTCGTATATTTTATATTTTTAACTGAATTCTCGTAATTAATTATTGCCGGAAAGGGGGGGGGGGGCGGAGGGCTGAGGGAGAATTTAATTGATGAATCTGAATATGCCATAATTGTATGTTATTGGCAGTGCCTAACACGTTTGCTGGTTGGGTGATGATTTCTACACATTCACTGATTGGTTGATGGTGTCTACACCTCCGCTGATTGGTGGATGATGTCTACACGCTCCCTGATTGGTGGATGGCGTCGAGGGACTTTTTTTCGACAAAGTTTCTGGAAATTTTTCATTAAGTTTATTTGCCGTCCGTTGGAATTAGTGTAGGTTGGTAATTCAGGGAAAATTTGATTACTTCTGTTAAAATTTCATCTCGAAATTCACTAATTGTAGCAGCGTAAATTACATTATGGGAGATGACTGCGCAGAAGACCAGTGACAGATTGCACTTCATAGTTGTCCCGGTCCTGACCTCCAGCCTTGACTTGCCCCAACCATTAACCATTAATCCATTTGAAGTTCAAGGCCCCATCGGAGTTAAGGACGACCTAAAAAAGACCCCATTAGGACTACGCCTCTATTCTAATGGTCAGACTTTGGTCTATTAAGGCTGACCTATTCAACCAATTAGCGGATGACTGACTGACTATTGGAGGATGAAGCGGTTTGAGTCTCACCTCCTCGTAAACTTAAGGTATTCCCCTCACCCCTTAGCTAGTGTTGTAGGGAGGCATCAAACAGACTCACTTAGCGGCACAAACTCGGCAGTTAAAGTGACGTCACTGTACACCAAGACGTAATCGTAATCAGATTTATCCTCTTGGATTTACGAGAAAAAGTTTAAGATTCTTTTTATGATCTGAGAGGGAGGCTACTGGTGAAGGGAGAGTGAGAGATCGAGTGAGGGAGAAGGGGGGTGGGGTGAGAGAGGGACTTTAAGGAGGAAGATGAGAGGGAGGTGGAGGAAACGGTGAGAGAGACGTGGAAAAGGAAGGAGAACGAAATTAAGGAAGCGGTGAGAGGGGCTTGGAAAAGGAGTAGGGATAGTAGGAAGGAGAAAGATATAAAGAAGAAAACGGGGGAAGGAAAGGAAAGGGGCAGGACGAAAAGGGGGAAAGCAGAGGGGGGTCAGAGGTTGAGTAGAACAGGAAGAATCCTACAAAGGAATCTCTTGATGATCGTTCAAGCAAGTCATTATACACCCTCCCTTTCCTAAAAACACCATCCCTTCCTCACCTACCTGTACACCCTCCCTTCCCTAAAACACCCTCCCTTCCTCACCTACACCCCCTAAACCCTCCTTTTCCCACCCTAACCACCCACCTCCACACCCATGCAACCCAACCTTCCCACCCACAACACTTATCTACCCACCTACACCACCCACCTACCCACCCACAAACACTTAGTCATCCATACCATCCACCTACACTATACCCATCTTCCTACCCATACCACACATACAACCTACTTACCCACCCACCCCCACCATCCACCCACCCACACCACCTACCCACACCACCCACCACACCATCCATCCACCCACCCACACCACTTCACACCCACACCACCACCCACCCACACCATCCGCTTCCATTGACTTGCACTTAGTAGCTGCATCAGTCCCCATGTATAGAACCAAACAAAGAATATTTTTGAAATACTGTGTACCATTCAGTGTCATAATATCCTGACCACTGGGGTTAGTTATACACACCCTTTGTGAACTCTAGTCTGTTAACCCTTTTGGGCTACCGCTCACAGGATCAGTATGGGGTGCACATAAACTAGCCGTTGTAAGGTGCAAAATTATATAAAAAAATAACACTTCCCCCGAACCCATACCACCCGTTTACCCTCAACCAACATCACCCACCCACCCATCACAACCCATCTACTACACACCCTCTCCCACCCATTCATCAATCTATCCACCCATACAACTCCGCACCAGTCTCCTCCACCCACCCAAGAGTAGCATCCCAGGCGACCAGAGGAAACAAGAAAGTCGATAATGTGTCTCTTGTGGGGGAGAACCTCATCCTGTCTCTCTGTTGTTGTTGGGTCCTCAAGGTGTGAGAGATTTAGGTTAGAGAAAGAAACACTTAAACTTGTACCAGTGCCATCTTGAGCCAGTGCCATCTTGAGCCAGTGCCATCTTGTGCCAGTGCCATCTTGTGCCAGTGCAATCTTGTGTTAGTGCCATCTTGTACCAGTGCAATCTTGTGTTAGTGCCATCTTTCTCATTTCAGTGCCATCGTCCTTGACTCACCCATTTTAGTCAGTGTCATATTCTGTGCCTCAATGCCATCTCCATTACCTCGGTGCCATCTCCAGTGTCACAGTGCCACTCTGAATTAACATTAAGGAAACGCAGCTAATATGTTACATGCCTAAGTTAAGTGTGTGTGTGTGTGTGTGTGTGTGTGTGTGTGTGTGTGTGCGTGCGTGCGTGTGTGTGTGTGTGTGTGCGTGTGTGACCTACAAGTCCTTCACGTTAATGAATGACGTCCTGACCCCCCCACCTTCCCTCCTTCCCCCTTCTTCTCCCCCTTCCTCTTCCTCTTTCTTCCCTTCCTTCCTCCATCCTTCCTCCTTCCTTCTCCTCCCTCTTCCCTTCTTCTTCCCCTCCCCCTTCTTCCCCTTCCTTTGCGTGCCTTACCCATTTCCCCTTCCCATTCTCTACCCTTTATCTCTCATCTCTACTTTCCTACGACCCAACCTAACCTAACCTAACCTAACCCTTTCTTTTCCATGCCTTTCCTTCTTTCCTTGTCTTCTTTCCATTCCCCTTTTCTCCTTTTTCAATTTCTTTTCACGAAGGAGATATAAGATGAGAGGAAAGGGAAGGGAGGGGGAAAGGAGATGGAGGGCGAGGAAGCGGATGGTAAGGGAAGGGAGAGGGAGTAAAGGAAGAGAACAGGGAGGGAGAGGGAGGGAGGAAAGTAAGAGACCAGGAAGGGGGAGAGAGGAAGGCAAGGCGAGAGAAGGAGGGAGGGAGAAGGAAGGAAGAAAACAGGGAGAGAGAGGGAAGGAAGGAAGAGAACAGAAAGAAGGGAGAGAGGAAGAGAGAGAGAAAGAGAGAGAGAGAGAGAGAGAGAGAGAGAGAGAGAGAGAGAGAGAGAGAGAGAGAGAGAGCAGAGGAGGCAGGGAGAGAGAGAAGGAGGGAGGGGATGATGACGAGTTAGGTTAGATCTTCCTCACCTCTCCAGTTTTTACCTCCCTGCATTGAAGACGTAAGAGACTAATGCCATGGTCGTGTGTGAGTGTGTGTGTGTGTGTGTGTGACAGAGAGAGACAGATAAAATGAAAGAAAGAAAGAAATACAAAATAAGAGAGAGAGAGAGAAAGAAAGAAAGAAAGAAAGAAAGAAATTCTCCTAGACTCTCCACAACTCCACACAAGAAGGTCTCCCTCGAGAAGAACTATTTGTGGCTCTTAAGTTAGTCAAGGAGGAGGAGGAGAGAGAAAGAGAGAGCGAGAGAGAGAGAGAGAGAGAGAGAGAGAGAGAGAGAGAGAGAGAGAGAGAGAAATAGAGAGAAGATAAATAACTCGACATTCTCTTTCATGTATCTGCGTCAGTGAGCTCTATATCTGTACTACAAGCTCTGCCAATAAATTTGTTAAACTAAAACTCTATATCTGCCCTACATGACTTGCAGACTAACTAGGGTTATATATATTTTTTCCCTACGTGGAAGTTTTTGTTTCTCTCTCACCTATGCGCTGCTAGGAGTCCAATCAGCTGTATGGTGGGGATACGTCTTTCATTAAGGCACTTTGAACTTTTAATGCCTTTCTTGGGCTGTACTTGGTTAAATCGACTTACTGTTTGCCATTGTTTGTATAACTGTAGTGTCTTGTGTCTTGGTATATACACGCTGAATCCACACACACACACAAACACACACACACACAGGTATTCGTCACCACATTAAACATGCAGGTGATGTAACTGGAGCAGGTGGGAGGCTAATGTGTCTTTTCTCTTCTTCCTGCAGGTGAGCACAACTTCCCTCACTCGGGCAAGTTAGCAGCGGGGTACCAGAGTAAGGTAAGGAGACGGATAGGCGGCGTCGGTGTTCGGATCTTCTCGGGTTGCTTTTGGGTCCTCCGATTGCCGCCGTTCGGGTTGCCTTCGGCCTATTTGAGTCGTCTGGGAGCCGTTCGGGTTGCCTCGGGACTCTTCGGATTGGTTCGGGGGGTTTCTGGGGTTACCTCGGTTCACGTCGGTGTTTCTTGGCTCTTCTTTTCCCGGCTTATTTGGGAACGTAAGATGTTTGAGAGAGAGAGAGATGTAATGGATTCTGTTATGGGGGGGGGGTCTTCAGGGGATCTCACAGACCTTTAAAACGGTTTAAATGTTTTTGCTTTGGATTCAGTTCATAATATCCTTACATATATTTGGTTTTGTCGGATTTGATCGGATTTTGTCGGTTCTTATTTTTTGGGGGTGGTGGGGGGGGAGGGTTTGCTCGCGAGGATTTTTAAATGGTCGCAACATCTTGTGTACTCGGAGGTTTTAAGAAATTTAGAAGGTATTAATTTTTTCTTCATATTTTATTGTATATTTTCGATTTATTTAATTTTATTGTGTTTTTTATTTATTTATTTTTTATTGTATCTTTTCGATTTAGTCACGTTTCCCTGCTATGATTTTCAGTGGATCTTTTGCTGTTTTTATTTGGGAAAACAGTGAGGAAGAGTTGTCGAGTTTTGCCGCTATTGTAGGCAGGCTTGAGGTAAATATATTGATAGATAGAGGGATGGATGGATAAATAAGGGAATGGATAAATAAATGGATGGATAAATTGATAGATGAACGGGTAAATAGATAAATTGAGAGAGAGAGGGAGAGAGAGAGGTGGGACACTTGAGTGAGGCCACTAATGTAGGCAGGCAAGCAGGGAGGGGGCGGCACAAAGTGACTTGGCTCACTCTACTCATCAGCGTTATACTTCCCCACAACGGACCTGATTCTTGCCCACACCACCAACGAACCTGACTCTTGCCCACACCACCAGCGGACCTGACTCTTGCCCAAACCACCAGCGGATCTAACTCCCGCAAAGCACTAAATTTCTCTCTCTCTCTCTCTCTCTCTCTCATTAACGTTCGTCTCCCTATTTTCGCATATATATCCTCCCCATTCTTCCTCTCCCGTCTCCCCTCCTCCTTTCTCCCCACCTTCTATATCTCCCCACCCTTTCACACACTCATTAACAAACAAACACACACACACACACTTAAACTTGGTATCTGCTGACTCTCCTGTGAGTAGGTAGGGTACTTTCAGGCGCTCCATGGGTGAACAGGCAGTCACTTGTCGGTTCCTCCTCCTACCCCTCCCGCTCCCCCTTCTCCACCTGGATTTACCGGCAAACTCCCACCAAGGAAAACGTGGTAGGATTGACGATCAATTTATGACTGATTTAAAAGTGACAATTTCAATTAGAAAATAGAATCAACATGGGGCTAAAACAGAGAAGTGGTCAATGGGAATACACTGCCTTTACCCCTGTCAGTGTTAGTGTTTACAGTACACAAGCGGAGGGACACTGTGACGACCACACGGTACCCTCCACACCACTACAACCTGATCTGTTATCCTCACAACCTGACCTGTTATCATCACAACCTGACCTGTTATCCTCACAACCTGACCTGTTATCCTCACAACCTGACCTGTTATCCTCACAACCTGACCTGTTATCCTCACAACCTGACCTGTTATCCTCACAACCTGACCTGTTATCCTCACAACCTCACCTGTTATCACAACCTGACCTGTTATCATCACAACTTGACCTGTTATCATCACAACCTGACCTTTTATCCTCACAACCTGACCTGTTATCCTCACAACCTGACCTTTTATGCTCACAACCTGACCTGTTATCCACACAACCTGACCTGTTATCCTCACAACCTGACCTGTTATCATCACAACCTGACCTGCTATCCTCAAAACCTAACCTGTTAGCCTCACAACCTTACCTGCTATCCTCACAACCTGACCTGCTATCCTCTACAACACCATGACACATTTTGGAACTGAAAGATTATATTCAACAACCCACTCCTCAATGTCTCCATACTTAACACACACACACACACACACACTCACCATCATGGTTTTAAGTGAATAATGACCATTGCTGTCGTTTAACCTTGACACACTAGGTTCAGGCAGTACTGTGATATATGTGTGTGTGTGTGTGTGTGTGTGTGTGTGTGCGACCCCTGTTGGTACGTGTGGTACTCGAGGGACAGCTGTTATCAAGAAAGTTATCACTGGAATATGTTATTGCTAGGATCACCCTCCCCCCCTTATACACCTCACAAACATACACGTCAACTAGGAGGAGGGAGATAGGTAGGATGAAAGAGAGAAGGAGGAGGAGGAAGCAGGGGTAGGATGAAGGAGGAGAAAGAAGGAGAGGAGGAAGCAGGGTAGGATGAAGGGGAGGAGGAGGAAAAAGCAGGGGTAGGATGAAGGAGGAGAAAGAAGGAGAGGAGGTGAAGGAAGAGGAAGAAGTGAGGGTAGGATGGAGGGGATGAGGAGGAAGAAGCAGGGGTATGATGAAGGGGAGAAAGAAGGAGAAGAGGAGGGGGAGGAGGACGCAGGGGGTGAGATCGGGTGGTAATGGAAGCCGGAGGACCTCTCTCTCTCTCGGCTACCCACTTTGCCCTCCCCACTTGTAAGTCATACACAACCTGCACCCTCTGCCTGTCATTACCTCCCCCTCTTCTCTCCCTCCTCGTCCTCCGACCTCTCTTCAATCCATAAAGTCCTCCCCTCGCCTTACCCACATTCTTTCCTACCCTCCCTCTTCTGTTGCAGTTGTCCTTTTTTTCTCCTCATTCATTCCTCATCATCAGCATTATTATTCTCTCCCTCCCTTCTTCTTCCTCCCTTCCAGTACTCCACCCCTTCATTATCTCCCTATCCTTCTCCCCTTCTCTCAACACCAAGCATCCCCGCGCCCCCAGTCTTTCATCGCCCCATCCCCCCCCTCCCTCACCAACCAACCATCCCATCCTACTCTCCCCACACCCTCAACCAACCATCCCATCCTCCTCTCCCCACACCCTCAACCAACAATCCCATCCTCCTCTCCCCACACCATCAACCAACCATTCCATCCTACTCTCCCCACACCATCAACCAACCATCCCATCCTCCCCTCCCAACACCACCAGCCAACCATCCCATCCTCCTTTCCCCACACCACCAACCCCTCCATCGTGTAAGGCCAGACATACTGCTTCACACACCTGTACTCACGCATTTGTGAATAAGTTACCCTTTATGTATAGAACTAAACAAATAATGTAATTGAAATACTGTGTAACATTCAGTGCCATAATATCCTGACAACGGGGGTTAATTATTATGACCCGTTGTGAACTCTACTCTGTAATCCTTTTGCGCTACCGCTCACAGGATGAGTGTTGGGTGCACAATAAAGTAGCAGCTGTAAGCGGCAAAATAAAAAAAAATCATCGCTGGCACGTGTGGGAGCCATAACCACTCCCCCCCCCCCGGCTGTTACTGAAGGATGACTGGTGGAATCCATATGAAAGTGACAGGACCTACTCGAGAGGTTAGACTGGCCGGAGCCCCAGTGTTTTAGAGGCAACAGGAGGGACCTTAACGTCATAGGGGTATCCTGGGCGACAGACCAACACAACACTATACGATATACAAACATAAGAATATAAGAATGGAGGAAACTACAGCTGGTCTATTGGCCCTTGCTGGGCAGTCCCATTTGCACCCAACCCCTATCGCTCATATATCCATCCGACCTATGTTTGAAGCTATTCAGTGCATTCGAGTTAATGATGATGTTTGGTAACTTGTTCCACTCATCCACTACTCTATTTTTAAACCAGAGTTTACCTATTTCTAGCCTAAATCTAAATTTTTCTAATTTAAAACCATTGTTACGAGTTCGCTCCTGGTTGGATAGTTTGAGTACCTTTGTTATATCACGTTTGTTTAGCACTGACTTCCATTTATACACCTCTATCATATCGCCCCTCACTCTACGTTTCTCGAGGGAGTGCAGATGCTTTAACCTGTCTCTGTACTCAAGGTTCCTAATGCCCGGGATTAGTCTTGTCATTCTCCTCTGAATTCTTTCTCGGGATTCTATATCCATTCTGTAGTACAGTGACCAGAACTGAACTTCGTAATCCAAGTGAGGTTTCACAAGCGCAAGATATAGTTTTAGGATGGCCTCCCTAGTCTTGTAACTAACACTCCTTTGTATGAACCCAAGTACACACACACACACACACACACATAAGAACATAAGAAAAGAGGGAGTTTGCAATAGGCCGGTTGGCCTATGCATGGCAGCTCCTGTCGAGAGTTACTACCACTCTCTATCATCCATGAATCTATCTAGCCGCCTTTTGAAACTTTCCAGAGTTCCAGCACTTACTACAAAGTTGCTAAGCTTGTTCCACTCGTCCACCACCCTATTTGTGAACCAGTTCCTTCCTATCTCCCTCCTAAACCTAAACTTATCCAACTTAAATCCGTTGCTCCGAGTCCTATCCTGCTCGGATATTATAAGAACTTTATCTATATCCCCTTTTTGATTCCTTTCACCCACTTAAATTCTTCTATCATATCTCCCTGCACTCTTCGTCTTTCTAGGTAATGCAAGTTAAGTTTCTTTAACCTATCCTGATATGGAAGGTTTCTAAGTCCCGGAATCATTTTCGTCATTTTTCGCTGCACCGACTCTAGTGAATTGATATCCATTCTATAATAAGGGCACCAGAACTGAACCACATAATCGAAGTGCGGCCTGACTAGCGCAAGATATAGTTGCAATAAGACCTCTGCACTCTTATTACTTACACTTCTAGATATAAAACCCAATACTCTGTTTGCCTTATTTCGAACATTAACGCACTGTTTTCTAGGCCGTAGGTCCGGGCTTACAAGTACCCCTAGGTCTCTTTCACAAGTCGACTTCTCTAGGTTGATGTTGTTAAGGCTGTATACATTATCAGTATTTGTTCTTCCAATATTAA